TATATATATATATATTTTTTTTTTTTCTGGTTTAAAAATAATTAAAATATTCTTGTGGGCCCCTAAAAGTATTGTGGGCCCTGGGCACTGTGCCTTCTTCAGTGTCTAATAAAGAGGTGAGCCCTGGGGATGATACACTGAAATATTAACTGATACTTTCCCCTTTCTTGGAATGCTTATGGGGAGGTGCTCTGGTTTTATTGCCTTGGGGAATAATGACCTGCAGGCAACAAAAGAGCCAAATTCTTGGATATGGAGTTTAAAAACTTGGGTCTCAGATGAGCACTATATATTTAGGAGAATAGATGAAGAGCCAGGCCACACTGTCTGGGACAGAGGCAGGAGAAGGCCAGAGGAGAAGTGGAGAATGTTTAGATTTGTCTGGGGTCCCGAATTTGAATTAAGGTCTTGGAAATTCTGGAGCAGATGTGACCTATCGTTTTCTCTCCCACCCTCTCACCCACATTTCCAAGGTAATGTCTGTGGAACTGTTGAAGGGTGGGTCTCCCACATGTCCCCAGGCTCAGTCTGTGAGGGGAATGAATCACAGGGATAATGTCTGGGTTTCCAGGAACCATGGGTGGAGAGGGNAGAGACTTTCTAAATTTTATTTTGCTATACTCATTTTTTTCTCATAAAAATTTTTTCATTGTAATAAATTACAAATAATGGCAAGTTGTGTGGTGACTGTGAATAAATGCAGGAGGCTATATAAAATATATATAGTATTACACCTTGGTTATTTATATACATATTTGTATTGCAAAGATGCTGTAAGACTTAATTAGTTTGGAAAAAGTATTTTAAAATGCCAACTAAAGCATATTGTATGTAGATGGACACAAATATCATTGCACATAATAATATTTTGCATTTATATGTCATTTTTCATTTGAGACTCTCAAGCCACTGATTCATTTATTTTCTTAGTGTGTGATTCTCAGTTTATCTCAGGGAAACTGAGGCATGGGCCAATGTTCACCTGACATAATATAATAAAGTCAAGGAATTAATTAGGCCTCCTCTTTTCTTTATAATGCCTTAATCATTTTAATGATATTTTTATATATAGTAAATATATATTTTATATTTTTATCATATATTTTAATATATCTTATATAGTATATTTTACACATTTTATACTTTTTAAAAATGTATATTTCTATCTGCTAGGCTGGCAACCTCTTGAATTAGAGGCAGTTCTTTGGCAATGAGTCTCTCAGAGCCTAGCAGGCTGTGGGCACACTGTGTGTGGGCAGCCGGAAGGCTTTAGGGAATGCCGATTACATTAGCTCAGTCCTCCAAAGAAACACCTTCATTATGGATTCATGTTTTTAATGCTGGGCTTTTGGCTGCTACCTAGGGAACAGCTATGAAAGGAACATATCTGTATCTTTTATAAGAATCTAGTTATAATAAAACTTAAACTATACGG